CGGGCCCCCCGCCCCCAAGCCCCGCGCCCCCCCGCCCGCCCAGCCGGGGGCGGGCCCAGCCAGGGGCAGGCCCAGCCAGGGGCAGGCCCAGCCAGGGGCGGTGGGGGTCAGGGCGGGGCTGGGATGGGCAGCGGCCTCCAGCCACAACAGGGTTCTGGGCTGCCCTAATCAGAGTCTCAGGAAGCTGCTGGCCTGGGGGAAGCCTGGCCCTGTGTCTTGGGTGAGGGACAGCAGATCAGGGCTCTTGTGGCCTTAAGAGCCTAGCAGGGTCTGAGTATAGGTCCTGGGCTACCCAAGGAAGCTGAAACGTCCTGTCGTGAGCCTTGGGGGAGGCAGCGTGTCTACTGGCTTTGAACTGATGGCCAGGCAAAGTGCAGTTCTGAAGGGCGACTCTCCTGGCATCTGTGGACTGGGGCAGAGGCAGACACAGTGGGTATTCCTCCCTTCAGTGGGAGGCCGGCTGTGCTCCTGGGGAGGCAGTGAGTCCAAAAGGTGGGGCAGCATTGAGAGGACAGGGCTGCTGCTGCAGGACCCCAGGAGTGAGAGTAAGCCAGCGTACGCCGCTGGGGCTCTGAGGTGGCGCGCTACCTTAGCAGGTACCCAGGACAGGACTGCTCAGGGCGAACACATGGGCTCATTGGTGGGCTGTCGTGAAGAGGGGAGCTAAGGAGAGAAGGCTGTGCCACCTGACTTGGACAGATGAGTCACAGAGTGACTGCGCTGTGTGGCCTCAGGTGTGGAGCAGGAAATAGCTGGTCAAGGCTGAGCTCTGTACTGCTCTCTCTGCCTTACTGGCGGGTGTGCGTGCCTGGGAAGTGACAGTGGGTCATGCAGCGTGGAAAGCGTACCAGAGCCGTATGCCCCCTACATTTGGAGTGTGTGGTTTTTTGTTTTTTGTGTTTTTTCAGGTTCAGCAGGCCCAGTTCACCCCTTGGTGGACCCCCTGACTGCTGGTCCTCACTTGGCGCGCTTTCCTTACCCTCCTGGCACCCTCCCCAACCCTCTACTTGGACAGCCCCCCCATGAGCACGAGATGCTGCGCCACCCAGTTTTCGGTAAGACATCCCTGGAGGAGGAGGAGGACATGGGCTTCCGAGAGGAAGTTGGGGTTGAGTCAGATCAGCAGTCCTTCATACACCAGGCAGGTGGACTCTGGGGAGGCTTGAAGTAGGGGGGGCGGGGCATAAATGCACAGCAAACCCAGCCTAGCAGGAGCCAGGACTGCCTTGGCTGCAGAGGACAATAGACACCTGAACTGGGGCTGAGGTCTGGGGAGGAGAAGAGGGCAGGCAAGGTCTGGGCACGAGGCCCAGGGGCCTCTGGAATGGGCTCCTTCCTGCCTGGGGCTCTGCTGAACTTACCCTGCCCCTGGTGAAGCTCTCTCTGGAGAGCCTGGGAAGGGCTGGCCCAGCTTCCTCAGCTAGGTGAGCGCACTGCAGAGTAGGCTCTGGCCTTCTTCCTGGTCACGGCTACTCCCTTGACTTGTTTTTGTAGCAGAGCGTGTTTTGTGCTTGGCAGGCACTCCCTATCCCCGAGACCTGCCTGGGGCTATCCCACCCCCCATGTCAGCAGCCCACCAGCTTCAGGCCATGCATGCCCAGTCAGCCGAGCTACAGAGACTGGCCATGGAGCAGCAGTGGCTGCATGGACACCCACACATGCACGGTGGCCACCTGCCAAGTCAGGAAGACTATTACAGGTGAGATGGGAGGAAGCCCAGGCTTCTCGCCCCACCCCATCCCCACTGTGGCAAGCACCAGGGGCCATCCTCTTGGGTCCTGAGAGGGAGAGAGGCCGGTGAGAGGCGGGTGGGGGGACAGGGTCGGGGCGTGGAACTCATAAGCAAAAGATTGGCCAGCCTTTGCCTGTATGTAGCCTGTAGGTGACATTTCCCTGTCACCTAGCACACTCTCATGCCCATTCTCTTGTTTTCTTCCCTTCCCCCACCAGTCGACTGAAGAAAGAAGGTGACAAGCAGTTATAAGTTATTTATTTGTTAATGCTGGCTGTGGAAACCCCAGTTCTAGGGGGCAGAAACGGGACTTTACATCCAGTAGGAGCTGCAAGAGCAAAGAGGAATATCGTCTAAAGATTTCTCTATATATTTAAAACCCACAACTAAAAACACATCTGCATAATAGTGTTCGTTTGTTGAGAGGATTTCCCGAGACCTATTTGGGTCTCCCTGCATGACAGTCCCCCAGAAACGTGGTGTGTCTTGGGTTGGACTGACCCCTAGAAAGCTTACCTGCAGTCTTGGGGTTTGGCTTTGGTTCTTTTCCTTGATTTCCCAGTAGGTGCTAGAGTCCGCCCACACTCTTCACTGTGCGCGCAGACGCTGAGGCACGCGGGCTCTGGAACCGTGAGGTTTGCAGAGAGGCGGCATAGGAGTTTGAAATCCAAGAGCTATAATTTTTAAAAAATCTTTTATTTTAATACATTGTAGGGAATCTTCATAATTTGAGACAGTTCTGCAGCATGGCTTTTTACATCTGTAAATAAATAGTTTTAGAAGCCTTTTCTTTCCTTCCACAGACGACTATTCTGATCTATTTTTTCCAGCCATGTCACAAAGTGTGAATTCCTACCAGCTATTGACAGAATACAGAGTTGATTTTTTAATAAAAAGTTATATATAATTATCCCTTTAATTAAAGGGAACAGATGGGCGTTTCTAGTTTCAAGCAGGCAGGAGCTTGGGACTAGGTTTGGTCAAAGCAGTGAGCATCCAGGGGTTGGCAGGGACAGTGTTACAGGCTCTTTATTTTGCTGCTTTGCTTTCACTTCTGTCTGTCTGTCCCTCGCATGTGCAGTGGCAGGCATGTTTGAGCAAGCCTCCTTCCTTATTCATAGGAGTTGAGTGTTGACGTTGTGTTCCCTGGTGTCCCCATCGTCCTGTCTTTGGTATGGAAAGCGCATGTTTACCTGTCTGTGTCTGATGACAAGTTTCCTTAGAGTTTTATGCACATGTTTGATGTTGTAGATAAATTGTCATAAACAGTTTAGGAAATTCAAGAACTGATGCAGTACACAGCACGTGCAAGACCCAGGACATGTGCTGCCAAAGGAACATTTAGAGACCTGTCAGTGTGCGTGTCACCAAGCCATGCCTGCCACGGCAAGGCTGCTCCAGAGTGAGGGGCACCCTGGAGTTAACGTGATGGAGGTCTGGCCTGTGTTGTGGGCTATGAAGTAGGTGATCTGCACCCTCCTGGGGAACCCTGTGTGCCCCGTGCTTCCATCTGGAAAAAGGAACGGGAGTTGTCATTGAAGCAGGTTCCCCTGGGAAAGCCCTCTCTAGCAGGCCCTGGGGAACAGTCCTGGGCAGAACTGACTGCCACTGATGGGACACTTTTCTCTCCAGAGCCAAGGGTGAGATATCTGTGTGACCCCTCCCTTGGACCCTGAGGGCCATTTCTACTCTCGAACGCAGTGGCTGCATGCATATAGGAACAGCCAGCCAGTCACGAGGTGTGTCCTGGCCCTGTGGAGAGAAGTGGCTCACTGCTCACCTGGCATTCACTCTGCCCCTGGCTCTGACTCAGGTGCAGCAGGCCTCATGCTCCCTGAACCATGCATGGAGCAGCTAGGATCCATTTGTCTGTTGAAAATGTTTGTAGGGTTTTTGTTTGAACTTTAATTTTCTCATTCCTTCTGCCTTAACTTTGGTTCTTCATAGGAGGCAAGCTCAAATTAACCTTTTATTATCAAACTTCTGGCCACCTCGGCATGAAGGCATTTGTTTTCTTCTGGGGGTGGTGACATGCTTTCCAGATGGTCTGCCCTGCCCTCTGGACTGAGGAAGGCCTCTTCCTCATGAGCTCTGGCCAGGCAGGTTCTTTCTGTCCCCTGCCACCACCTCCTTCTCCCCTTGTAACTGAGTCTGCCGTTCAGTTAAGCCTTTATCCCCTCTCGAGTACCCATTTTCCAAAGAGAACGAGTGAAGTACTTTGAAGTCTGAACTTGAAATCTGTCCGGAAGTGTTTCTTTGTTAGTTTTGGGTTTCTCCCCTGTCCCAAGGTGAAGCGCTGAGTTCATGTCCTCCGTGACTGGCTAGTTTGTTCGGAGGCCCTGGACCTTCATGGCATCTTTGAAGCCCGCTGCTTGGCTTCCTTTTGGATTTTCCTTCCTTTCGTTTGAAGTTTGGTTTGCTTTCTGTGTTCTGTATGTATCTTGTTCAGTGTCGTCTCCCTGCAGTGGAGCGAGCGGACATTGTGATCGCTGCGTTTCTTTAGGTCTCAGAGCTAAGTGTATATATGAGTAGTTTGCCATGAGATAACACAGTGTAAACAGTAGACACCCAGAAAATCGTGACTTCTGTGTTCTCTCCATTTGAGTATTTTGTAATTTTTTTGAAATATTTGTGAACATAAATAAAACCAAGCTACACTACAAAACCTTGTGTGTTGGTCAGTGTACTGTCTCATTTTGGAGTGTGGGTGGGGTGCTGCAGACAGCCAGGGGAGTCTGCTGCTCCTTGCTGCCAGGCCCTACTTAACCTCCAAGAGCATCTGGAAATAGGTTTGTGCTGTCTGGGAAGAACTGCCTCAGTCAGCAAAGCCCCTTGCTCTCTGAAAGCAAGATCGCCATCTACCTCCACCACTCTGCCTACACTACCAAAGGGGTACAGGGAGAGTCCCCTACCTGCTGAGCAGCTGGTGGAGCCATCTTCTCCAGAATCAACCCAAGCTCAAGATGCCGGAGACCCCGTAGTGCAGCAATTCTCAACCTGTGGGTCACAACCCCTTTGGAGGTCAAGTGACCTTTCACCAGTGGAATATCGGATATCTACATACCAGATACTGACATTACTTCATAACGCTAGCAGAATTACAGCTGTGAAGTAGCAGCAAAGAACCTTGATGGTTGGGGGTCAGCATAGCATGAGGAGCTGTGTTAAAGGAGCACAGCCCTAGGAAGGTTGAGAACCACTGCTGCTGTAACATCTTCCCACAGAAACTACCCTGGATAACCTCGAAGTGTAGATGTGGCCATCAGAGACCAGGACTGCTAGTGGATTCCATCTGTGGCTTTTTATTTTTGTTTTTCCAAGACAGCATTTCACTGTTCAGTCCTGGCTGTCATGGAGCTCACTCTGTAGACCAGGCTGGCCTGGAACTCAGAAATCCACTTTCCTGAGTGCTGGGATTAAAGGCGTGCGCCACCACTGCCTGGCTCTGCTGTGGCTTCTGAGGACCAGGGACATTTTCCCCCTAACAGTTCTCTATTAAAGCCATGGTTTTAGACATTTCAGGAAGTGGAGGAGACTGGCCCAAAGAGTATCCTGGCGAGCTGCCTGCCAGGGAGGAAGAACTGGGAGCGGCATGGGTCAGGTGCTGGTCATTGGACGGGAGAGAAGGAAGCATTAAGTGGCATGCAGGGATGGACTTGCAGGTCAGCAAGGGGGGGCCAGGCAGCAGATCTTGCATCTTGCTTACATGATAGAAGTAAGGTACCTGGGGATTCAGAGTGAGCAGTGTGTGGCTGGGATCCAGGTGTCAGCTGTTGGAAACTTTAATTCTCACTGAGTGTAGGCGTATGAACAGGGAACACCAGACTTAAATGGTAAGAACCACGTGTCTTGACTGCTCTGCGACCCCATAGCCCCAATGCTAGACAATGGAGAGAAAAACAGTATCCACAAACACCTGCGTTTATAGGACATCACAATAGCCACAGTGCTCATTTACTAACAAGGGGACATACCTGTGTGCACTAACTACATAGACACCAGTGGAATGCTATTTGGTCAGAAACAAAAATGAAACTCTGTAACAGCCCTAGCTATCCTGGAACTGCTCTGTAGACCGGGCTGGCCTCAAACTCACTGAGATCCACCTGCCTCTGCCTCTGCCTCCTGAGTGGTGGAATTAAAGACATGCGCAGAGCACATGCCCTCTTGCTGGCTTGGGAGCCCTGCCCTCCCTCTCTGGGTTCTTTCTGCATCTGATCCCTGGCCCTTTGCTCTCTCAGTATTGGAAACTGACCAGTTCCAGACTCCCTTCAGTGGGCTCATATCTGACCAGGGAACCCTGGCAGCTGAAGTTCTGGACCCTGCTTCTCTGCCTTTTGTACCAACGTGACTATCATAGTCCTTTGTATTTTGACGTGTCAGGGATCCATACTGCAGGAACTGCACTGTGGACCCCCAACCCAAGTTTGTTTGGACATCCCACCTTCCCTTGTTACTCGGCCACACTGGCTCTGTGACAATTTACAGGATGGATGGATGGATGAGTGAGTGGGTGGTGGGTGGACACTTCAGAAGAAAGACCCTTGGTACCGAGAGGTGACTTGCTCATACATGTGAATGGCCAGTCCAGGCTGAATGTGAGGACCCTACTGGGGAGCCAGGTGCCCACTAACACTATTCCCTGCGGGTTTCTCTCCTTCACCACCCTGATACCATGTGGGCCTGCCCTCATGCTCTGGCCCTGGTGGACACTGTTCTTAGGAGCTCCTGCCCTGCAGTTTGGCCTCTGGTGAATCCCAAAGGGGAATTCAGAAAACAAAGAGGTTAATTGTTTTTGGCTCTTGGGTGAGGCTTGTGGGTGGAGGCCCAGGTTGATACAAGTGTCTCTGCATTGCTCTCCTCTTTAGACACTGAGGCGGCATCTCACTGAACCCAGCTAGCCAGCCTAACCACAGAGATTCCGTTTAGGCCTCTTACGTGCTGGTATCGTGTGGGCCACCACACCCATGTAGCATTTACACAGGTTCTGGGGATCCAAACTCTGGTCCTCACCCTGGCAAGGCAAGCGCTTTATCCACTGAACCATTTCACCAGCGCACAAAGAGCCTGTTTGACTCCACAAGGGGCATGGAGCTACTTAAGGTCATAGTTTTCTATGCCTGCCTTCCAAGGTCCTCTCCACTCCCTTCAGTCATCACTGGGGCTTGGCCACTGGTCCATGATGGAACAGAATTCTGATCCCGGCCACCAGGTGGCAGTGGCTACAAAGCTAGTTGGCTGCTCTTGCAGAGATGATAGAGGTGTGTGCAACAGTCAGGGAGGGGGTTTCCTTTGCTTTGTTTTGTTTGTTTTGTTTTGTTTTTTGAGACAGGGTTTCTCTGTGTAGCCCTGTCTGCCCTGGAACTTCCTCTGTAGACCAGACTGGCCTCAAACTCCTGCCTCTGCCTCCCGAGTGCTGGGATTAAAGGCATGTGCCACCACTGTCTGGCCGGAGGTGGTTTCTGGATCAAGGGGCAACTGGGAAGGGTCACAGTAGGGCAGGCTTGCAGAGATGACGGACTGACATGCCGTTCAGGGAGAGAGTGCAGATAGGATGTTCTTTCCCTTACTTTCTCCGATGTATCTGCAGGATCTGGGGCATGCACAGCAGTACTCTGCAAGTGCTCACTGAGGGCCAGGGTACCTCTCCTTCCCTCTTCCCTCACCCTGCCTTCCTTCCCTCCCTCCCTCTTTCCTGTCCTCCCCACCCTCCCACCTCCCCACTCCAGCTCCAATGTAGCCACCTGACTGCGCCTCCCAAATGCAATGATGACTGACCAGTTTGCATGGTGCTGAGGCTTCATGTTGGGAATCTATGAGCTGTGTGTTGCTTCCAAAAATCTTGGGCCCAGAAACCAACCCTCAAGATCTCCCTGAGCAGCCCTGCCCAGCAGGTACCCCAATGCCATGTGTGAGGAGAGCACACCTGCTCACAGGGAAGAGCACTTCAAGCATGGTGTGGGACCTTGCACACAGCTCTGAAGCAAAGGGAACCCATGGGACCCAGGTGCTGTGGGCTCTGGCATGTCTGAGAGAATCTGCCTCAGTTCCATGAAGCCTTGTAGCACAATACAGTGAGTGTCAGCTGACCACACTCCTACTATCCCCTGGTGAGCAAGGCAGATGGGAAAGAAAGCTACTGGGCACCGATGCACCCACCCTCAATACCAAGCATAGGGTCCAGGGGCACTGGGGATAGTGCATTTCTGAGACAGACAAGGGAAGGACAAGGGTGGCTTCCAGTTTGAACAGCCTGGCTTTAGTTTTGGGTTTGGTGGCCTCAGTGGGGCCTGTCTTAGGACACTTGGTAGAGGGTAGAAGCTTTTTTTAATCTTTCCATGGATTGACAAGCTCACTAAAGTGAACTCCTAGGGCAACAAGGCACCTGGTAAGCCAACCCATGTAGGGTGGGGCTTTGGGGCTCGGTGAGCGGTGGTTGCTCCACTGCCCCCTGCTGGGAGCAGCCTGGAGTGCACTCCTGGCCTCTGCTGCTAACAACCCTATGTGAGTAAGCAATCTGTTTATTTACATGGAAAGTTCCAGGAAGAGGACCCACGGTTTGACAAGCTAACGGCTGGCTGCAGCTTCCCTAATCATCTCTTGCAGACAGGAGCAGTTCTGAGAAAAACTAACCCAGAGCGGAGGATAGCTGTTCAGGATCACATTCCTGAGGAACCTAAACTCTTCTTGTGTAGTTGGGTGGTCCATGGTGCTGGGGGAAGCCTGAGCCTAAGGAGGCCCCTGGTGGTGTAACTTGGAAAAGTTCCAGAGACCTCCTGTAGCTCAGAGCACAGAATGGGGTCTGGGGAGGTGACTCACTGGGTGAAGTGCTTGCCACAAAAACACAAAGACCTGAATTGGATCCCTGGTGCCCAGAGAAAAGGTCAGGTGTATGGTATTTGCTTTTAATCCCAGTGCTGGGGAAGCAGAGACAGGAGGTCCCTGGGGTTTCTAGCTAATTAGCCTAGGTATTGATGCCTGGCCTCCACGTGCACACACACTGACACTCACACAGATGAATACACTTTTGGAAGGCACCCTGGGGGCAGGTTAGACAGGTTGTAATGACACCGGGCTCCTTGCTTTTGCCTGAGTATCAAGGTGTATGGGCATGAGCTGGAATGAAGCCAGGATATGACCAGGAGGGCAGGGCACAGAAAGATGCTGCATCCTGAAATCCAACAGGGCAGTGGGCGGTGGCACTGAGGACAAGCACCTGGGTACATCTGTGGATTATATGGGAGGTTATGACAAAGGGGTTGACTGTGAGCCAGAGAGGTGGCTTAACCATGCCACAGAGGCCATATCTGGTCAGAGCAAGCTGATGAGCTCCATGGTGATACACTCTCTTCAGGGCTGGGCAATGTTGGTCAGAGACCATGTACTGGGAGCACTAGGGCCACATAACCCCACACCAGGCCCAATGCATTGGGTACCATGGTGCCCTTTCCCCAGCTCTTGCCACACAGTCAGCTAATCAATAGAATGAGAATCATTGCCCAAGGGCATCTCTATGACATCCTTGAGCAAGCGGGGATGTCGGGGGTGGGGGTGGGGGTGGGAAGTGGCCAGAGATCTTAGGAGAAGTCAGCTCTCCAGGTCAGTAAGAGGTACTAGAAGCCAGGAGACATGGTTATATGTTCTCATTATCTCTGCAAGCCTGGC